AGATTCTGTGGGCAAGAGCTTTGGTACTGAAAGCTTTTTGTTTTTTGTTTGCAGTGCTGAGCAATCATGTTTGAGTAGATTTGGGTTGCATGGAAATAAACAAACCCTGCAAAGAGCAAAAGAGAGATTATATTTGCTTAGATTAAATTTCAAGACCATCAGCTGTCATGTGATGAAGAGTTATGTCTTTATTAGGTTTTTTAAAAACAAATTTATCTTATTTATCTTCATTATCAAACAATTACAGGTGCACAGAACAGGAATTCTTGGCCCAAATAGGCTTTGTTGTCCCAAAGGCTGAGTCATCAGATGATAACACATGGGTATCTGGGTTAGGTAGCAGGTGTTGTAATCTTAGCTTTTCTTCTCCTGCTACTATTTATTGATTTACCTTTGAGCAAAAATTGAGAGTTGTGTTATAAGACACCCTTTTCAAAAGGTTTATAACTATGCCTTACAATTTTTTCCACCATTGTCACTGGCATGACACCACAGGGCAGATTTGGCTGTAAGTCTTAAAGATATTAAATGAGTGTTGGATGGGTTTAAATGCAATGCCAAGTTATTCTGACATCAATAAACTTGTTACACATTGAATCAGCTGGGATCAAATTTGGCATTCTGTTTGTGCTATAGATTGTCTATAAAAGCTATCCTGCCATTGCCTTTTAGTTTATGAAGTCCTGTGAATTCATCCCAATTTAGCACTTTGAACCAGATGTGATGAGTGAGGGTGGGATTCAATGGAGAAACCAAAAAACACTGTAAATGACCTCTCAGTCATAAGGTAGACCAGCCCTAAAGCTCTGCTTAATTGTCTCTCTGTGTCTAATCAGAGCCATTATTTTTAAAAGAATGAAGACCCTGGTGTATTTAACATGATTTGAGACAAGCAACTGGGACCATGACTCACCAGAAACATCTTAAATGGGACCATAGAGCAAGAGAGCATTATGGTCTATTTCCTACAGACTTCTTTTCAATGGCAACCAGAAGACTCAGCCTCTGCTGGTGTTTGGAAATAATGCAGGTCTAAGGCACTGTGACTGTCTTAAATCTCAGTCCATTTAGAACCTACCTCAGTCTTTTACAGTAGATATATTTGCGATATTGCATGGATCCAATGCCAAGTAAATAGAGGGCCAGTATTGCTGATACCGATAGCGATACTGATAACTTTAACCTATAAAGGCAGCTTATGTAGGTGAGATCAGTATGTCATGTTTTATGAGATCACCTCTAAATCCCTGTGGTTTTTATTTTCCACAATAATAAATTAACACAACAAAACAGGCCTTTCAGCTTTTCATGTATTTTGAAACTGGATTTCTTTTTTGGAGACCTGTAATGTAAATGTGTGCTGCATACTGAATCCTAGTGGTTAGAAATAAAGTATCCTTTCTATTGCGCTAGTATCGATCAGATACCGATAGCACCGTATGTATATCGATAAACTATTGGTATTTGGATCAGTTCTCCCACCTCTAATATTTAGTCTAGATTTATGTCCATCTGACAATATTTATTCTTGTTTTAGCTGTTTCTGAAACTCTTAAAGAGAAAAATTTGGCATTTTAGCTGCTAAATTCTACTGTGTCGATTATTTAGCCAGAGGGTGTTTTAAAACACACCAAATTATTTTGTCTGCTGAGTGGTATAAATTTTTTTTTCATTTTTAGCGGCTGCCTTGACAACAATGGCAACTTAATAAGTAATTTTTGAAAATGCATATATTTTCAGAAATGAATAAATCGATTTATTGGTAGGATTTCTGAGGATTAATGTTAATTAATGGGGTAAACCTGTTGCTTAAAGGATAACCTTCAGTTCTTGGAACTGAGCAACAACCATAACATAGCAGATCCCGCCCTCCCTGCAAATAGATGTAACAATAAAGTGAGAAGTGGTGACAATTAACCTGAGATTAAAGGTTTAATGAAAACCAAAATCAGTCGAAAGGCGACATAAAGTTCTTGGAGGGCTGAAATGACATTTAAAGTTTGAGCTGCACTAAGCCACCGAGTGAGTTAATTATTGAGCACCATTATAATCGGTTGTTTATTGCATTGTGGTTAAAATTAGTCATTGTAGCCGTAACTCCATTATAAACTGACTCCTTGTATTTTGTAATGCAGGACACCCCCTCCCTGCACCACCACCACCTACCTACAACACTCACACACACACAGAGATTCAGCAAGAATACCATACACCGTCAGCACATAACCTCAGTTCCCTTCTTTTTTTTTTTTCTTTTCCTGCACCTTACCGTGGCCGCATTCTCCTCGCTGTCTTCGGGCACATCTGTCGGCATCTGCAAACTGAAATCAAGCGATCGGAAATGAGGACTCCAGAAGATATACAGGGAAGAGCATCATCACCATTCTTCCTCCTCACCCATGCCACCCCCACCCACCACTCTCACTTTATGAACCCCTTATCAAACAGCCCGGTATGATCTCTCACCTGTCAGGTGGTTATCAGCTACTAAAAAGTAAGCACTAAGCGCGGTCTCTCTCTCTTTCTCAATCTTCCCTCCCTAGCGCTCTCTCTCTCTCACTCTCTCTCCCCCTCTCTCTATCTCTCTCTCACTCTCTCTCTCTCTCTTCATTTCGCTCTTCGCTGTCATTCTGTGTTCTCAGGTTAGGGCCCAGGTCCAGATCGGTAAGTCAGTACTGCCATTCATCATCAGCACTCCACAGACTGACTACTGTGACTCACTGACTTGACGCCTAAAAAGCTCTCCAGATCTTGATTTGCTGCCTAGAGAGGAGAGGTGACACCACTACCACGTGCTGGAAATGTTTACTGCAGGTGCATGCAGCCCGGTGATAGCAGTGAAGCGTGATGCATGCATGCATGTAGGGAGCAGTGCTGTAGGAAGATGCTCACAGTCACGAAGCATTCACTGACCTCTGGTAGATGGAGGCGATGCAGGAAGCGGCCGCTAGGGGGCATTATAACATAAGTAATCACATTCCTAATTGACTTTTTTGTGTGTGTGTGAGAATGTTTAAAATGTGTTATTAGGTTATCCCTGCTGTAAAACAGAGACTTGATTGCCTACCCATTTGCTTACAAAGTTTAATAGCCCTATTTTTTTTTTTATTTTCTTTGAAGACACTCAATATTTTATTTGACAGATTAATTTCCAGTTCACCAAAGTATTTTCTAGTCTGTTATCGAAGGAGTGTATATGAACATGTTTTCTGTCAGAGTGCGAACATGGCCATGAGCAGTGGTGTGTCCCTCCCACACAAAGCCACAATAGACTCCGGCAGTGAGCAGCCAGGGCGCTATTATAGCCCTAATCCTGCTCCTATTATACAGGCCAGAGAGAGAGCGAGAGACACAGAGAGGGAGGTAGAGCTGAAGATGAGGTCATCCCAAACAGCACACACCCAGGGTCACTGCCTCACTATAGAGGGGCAGAGATAAAGAGAGAGATGGAGCCAGACATGGTGCTGCAGAGAAAAGGCTTCCAGGAGATTGACAGTGGCAGATGCTAGGATAGGTGAATCGAGAGATGAGGTTTAAACCTGTGTGCAAGGTGTTAAAAAAAAACCCTGACACATCACAGGGATGGTAAAGTAATTGGTTTATTGTATATGCATATGAAACCACACTACAACAGGAGCAGGAAACCATGATAAGGGCCTTTGTTGTAAAATAATGTTAATTCTAATCACAAATGAATAAAAGAATAAACTGTAGGAAAGTAAAAATACACGCTAATGGAGTAAAACCAAAAAAATAATTAGAATCAGTACATAAATAAACAATAAATACCAAATAAATAAGTGAATAAATAAAACAACAATTTATGTAACCTATACCCAAACAAAATAAATAACTCTAATGCATTAACCCTGGCAATAAATTCATGGGACAATTAAGAATGTGTCTCCATGAAGATTTTCTTTTAAATCTTTTTTTTGCATTTTTTTTCATCCCTGCACCATAAATTTTCTGTTGCATCAGTAGCCCACAGTACCCGAGTCCACAGTGACCAGCTCTGTGGTGCTGCATGTTGTAGTAATATGAAAATGATCTGTGTTTTCACAGAGCAATGCTTTTTCCTTTTCTCTCTCTCTCTTTTTTTTTTTTTAACAGAGGTATTCCTTCTGCCCAAAAATAGCTTCCTAGTCTGAAGAACTGGACACAACCACACAAATCATGCCACACTTTTTTTTCTTTTTGCTTGCTGAAATGGGTTGCCTCTTTTTTCATTTGCAGTTGCTTGAGTTGAGCACACTACCATCTCCGTGTCTCTGTATGTAAAAACCCATTCTCGAGAGCACACAGCAAGTCTGTTAATGGCTGAAATTTGCCAATTCCAACTGGCAAAAGTACATTTCTTTTCTAAAACAAAAGGTCAGTTTCCCCGCTATTCATTTAACACAATCACTGGAAGATATTCTTGTACATTCTTTAATCTATGATTATTAATCTTACAAAGAATACCAGGTCTTGGTGAGCTTAAACACTTTGGTAGGCAACTGTGAAATATTAGCTTAACTGCATGCCATGGATACTTTATCCAAGCCCATACCACTCCACATCCAACACCACTGCACTACTCAGACCTCTGCAGCTTTAGCAGCTTAATATAAAAAGAAAAGAAAAAAAAAACAACTACACTGAGCCTCAATCACTCACTTGCAAAGTACATTGCAAATATGTAATATTGCATAGATAACAATATCAGACACTATAATAGTTTTATTGCAAGATAAAGCTGTTTTTTAAAATCCATTTTCAGAGTAGTGTTTGTCACCTGTTGCACTGATATCACCAGCAGAAGCTCTCAGGAAACTCTCAGTCAGTTTTTTGTGCAACCATGATTCACATTTAAGTAAATCTGAGCCTGTGAAGCAGCCCAGGGCTGAGTCTAACCCTATTAATTAACAGTCAGTTCCCCTTTAGTCATTCAAGGGTGGTTTTCACAGTTGTATGATCCCCAAAACAGCCTTCCAAAGTCTCTCTTCCATTTTCCCCCCCACACACACACACACACATACACGTTCTTGTTTCTTCGCTCCAAGTCTGATTACTCATTATTGATTGCTCCACGCTGGCTTGTCTATTTTCTTTGTGCACCCCTGTGGATTAAACTCAGAGGAAGTAGTCAGGGGGTGGGGAAGGTGGGTTGCTGGTGTGGGTCGGCTGGGCGTCACCACCGGTACCATGGTTTGTGCTGAGCAACTTCTCATAGCGAGCCTTGTAGGCGTCTCTCTCCCTCAGCACTCGAGTCAGCTCGCACTGTAGCTGTTCCAACTGATGAGAAAGGAGTAGAAAGATTGTAATTTATCTGCGCTTCGCTGAGCTAAAGTGCAAAGATGCTCACTTGGAGTGCATTATTTATTCTATCTGCAGAGTGTGTCAGCAGTTATGTCAGATGCTGCATGTTTTTGCTGTCCTCACCTACTTTAAAACCAGAATTTCCCATTAAAAAGCTGGCTGATATTAATGATTAATGCCAGTGTAGAAAAAGAGGCAAAATCTCAGGTTTGACACTTATGAAAAGAAATTGAAGACTGTGTACCTGCTGGGTAAGCAAATGTTTCTCAGACTCCAGAGCGTGCCTGTGCTGTAAACGCTTGTAGCGGCAGGACTGGGCATAGCCTCGGTTCTTTAGCGTGCGGCGTTTCTGCTTCAAGCGCACCACCTCGTCCTTGCTCACTCCACGCAGGTGTCGGTTCAACTCGCGCACTGACAAGCTCACCAGCTGCTCATCAGAGAAGCGCTCGTTCGCCCCGCACTGAGGAACAGATGGAGACGACACACATAAAGAATATGCTGTTTCTCACCATTAATTGGCAACAAGACACATGCAGGAAATTATGGGAGGGCGTGCAGGGTGTGAAGCTGGTTCTGGCAAAGCTTTAGATTCATATATGGCATGAATGGTGTACACATGATGTGTCAAACTGAATGTGTGTGTGTGGTGTGTGAGCGTGCCTGGCTGTCAGGGGGCACATTCTGGCACCACATGTCTATAATCTGTCATGTAATCTGACTAAGTGTGGGAGACAGTTATCAGGATTACCCACAGCAATAATAGCAGATATTATCATAAGCTCACACTGTGTTCCATATAGAGATCCACCCAGACATCTTGATCAACCAGAACACAGATTACAAAGTTTATTTACCTTTTAAATGCAGAGCAGAATATTCACAACTGAGTTATTAATAAGATGCTAATGTAGTTTTAAGCAGAAATACTTATCGACAAACATTTTTCTTCCTGAGCACACCAATAACAGGCCGGCTGTATATACAGTTAATGAATGAAGGGATGCACCACCCATGAGCTTTTATGCCTTTGCTTCTATTTATTCCCCATTATTTGTAATGAAAACTGAGAAATCATTATAAAGTAATTAGAAAAAGTGGCTTAACTTTTTTTTTTTTTAGGTCTTTCAAGATTTAGTCACCACCAAACTGGCATCACATAACATTCTGCAACATTGAGCCAAAATCTTGGTGCATCCTTTATTGTAATAATGCAAATTTACAGTATACCTTTTAAAATACTAACATTTAGAGATTTACAGATCTCAGATTATAACTAAATTAAATTACAGAATACCTGCAGCTGCTAAACTGTTTTGGGAAAAAATGTTCCCAAATTTTCCCTTAGGTAAAGATTTATCTTCCCTTATTGTTGCCATGTGGAAAACAATCCTTAAAGTGATACTTCAGATAGACAAAGACATTAATAACCATGTTGTAATGGCCTAATCCTAATCCTTTGCTGGACCATCGCTCCCTCCTTCCGCCCAGCCTTTTAATGCGACTGTTTTCTCGCTTCATGTCTTTTCCCTCCAGGAATTTCTCATGGTTTACTGATTAACGCTTCCTGCTGAATATTATAATCATAATTAGGCCCTCTCTTCAATTCTGGATAGATTTGTACCTGATTGGTTTGTGGGTGGTGATGATGGTGATGGTTGCCATGCATGGGGTGGTGCGGGTGATGCTGATGATGGTGATGCTGGTGGTGATGCTGGTGGTGATGAAGGCGGCCCTGGGGGCTGAGGGGTTGGGGGTATGGAGCAGAAGCAGGGTTAGTGTTGGGGAGGGAGGGAGGGCCTGATGAGAGGAAGACGAGTGGGCGATGGCAGATGTCTGCTGCTTTGGCGCAGGAGATGTCACCTCCGCTGTCGCTGCTTGAGTCTCCCAGGTTGCTGCTTGAACTCTGAGAAAGACCTGGGAACTGAAAAGAGGAGGTGCAAATGATGAAGAGAGAGAGAAGTATAAAGTCAGTTGTTTAGTGGGTATATGTATAATGAATAATAACACTGACATAGCATAAGAAATTCTTACCTGTGAGCTAACAGCTGCTGCAGCTGAGTTCAGTAGAGCCTCCACAGCATCCTCACACCCCAGGAAGCCATTCACCTGCCCTCTCTCTCGGTCCCCTCTCTCTGGCACCCCTCCCAAGGCTCCCAGCAAAGTGGCGGGCCCCGTCACCTCACCTCCAAACTGTTGCTGCAGTGCGGCCAGCCAGATCAGGTCCTCCAGAGAGGCTGGGGTCGGACCTTGAGGGCCGCCATGGGCTGGACTGCCTTCCACGTTCCCCTGAGAGCCGGAGCTGATGTTGGAAGTGAGACTGTTGGGTATGGAGAGGGGAAAGGAGATGGAGGAGGACGATGAAGAGAGAGAAGAAGAGCCCGAAGGGGGTGGGTGGGCATCGCTGAATGTGGGCGAAGGTGGCAGTGAGTTGTAAGGGCTGGAGCTCAAGCTGGAGTCCTGTGGTGGGTGGCTGGTGTACGGAGAGCTGGAGGGGTCATGGGTACCAGATTTAGGGTACGCACATGGAGGAGGGAGCGGAGGAGTGTCAGATTTGACCTCAAACTTGAGAAGGTCAAAGTCGTTTAGGTATTCCATGGCCAAAGGGCTTGGGGGGAGAGAAGGCATGGGGAGGGAAGGAGAGGACATGATGTTTGTCGCTGCTGCTGCTGGCGGGAGCTTCAACAGGGTTTTTACGTGTGTCAGGATTGTTGAAAAGTCCAGTCCTCTGACTCAGTGCAGCTCATAGACAGCGGCAGTGGTGATGTCAGAAAGTCCACTGGTTGGTGAGTTTCTTTTGTGAGAAACTGTATGTCCCCTTTTCCTTGTCTCTGTTTCTTTTGTCCTGAAGAAACAAAAAGGGAAAAAAGGGTTTGGATGGAAGGGATAAGAGTAATGGGTGGTTGATGTTGTCTATAAAGAGCTGATAAGCTGTAATTAATGTTACTAATTTTGTGCAGCATAGATTTAGCACTCATAATTAATTAAAAGAAAGCTAAGAAATGATGCATCGAACCAGAAATATGTGTTTTTTATTTAACTTCACTCGTTCTTTTTCCTTATTAAAACTGGAAGCCTACATTACCCATAATAAAAGCTGACAATGATCTTTGAGGTGTGTTGTGTTGCAGGCCTTAGGCTGCAGAGGAGTGGTAAGCTCACATACATCTACATCCAGATTATTTTCATTTGAACTTAATTTCCAGCCTTGAATTTAAATTAGATATTGCACTACTCCTTTAAGTACTTCCCAAGCTCTGTCAGCTCATTCATGAATACATCTAAAGACCCCCTTTAATTTAACCATTTCAGTTTGACTGAAATATATATATATATATATTCCAGTCAAACTGATTCTATCATGAAATGCCTTAAAAAAAAGGATCAGTTAGAAATGGGTAAACATCAAGGTAGGCTGTGTTTGTATATTAACACACGAATCTGCAGCACACACCTCTTGCATCCCACACATGTAAGCAGTCTGTGTATATAAAAAACACAAAGTTTCGTGCACTTTAAATTTAAAAAAAAGTGCATTTCCTCTCTTGTAATTATATCAGTACTGAGCGTCACATTTCTTCTTTTTAAGATCTCCTGGCTAAATGAAGAAACTGAATAAAATGTGCTGTCAGATGCCTTTTGACAACATCTTCTTCTGCATGTCAGGTTTTGCATTTGGAATACTTCCATGTAGAAATACTTTCCAGGTTGCTCAGGAAATGCAATATATCTAGAAACATCCGCTCGCTGAACTCATAAGCAGTTGAAGCAGAGGAATTCACAGGCTTAATCATTTTTGACAGAAAGATCCACAGGTCTCAGAGAGCAAATCCAATTATCGAGCACTTCAGACTTTAATCCAGAGGCCACGACTTTCTAAAATTCTATACAGCTGTAAATTTACTTTTAGCAAAAATTGATAACAAGTTAAAAGTAACATATCAAGATAGTAAAATGTGACCTTTTTTATGCATTTGCTGTCAAATTCATGTTCAAAAACTCGTTTTACACAAAAAAAGAGTTACATGACAATATTTTAGAGTAACTTATAGAAAATCTGAGACGATAAATGAGTTAAATGTTAACATAATAAGTCAAAACATTCAAAAACAAATGAAGAGGCTAAAAGTAGTGTCCTCACAATATAACTGAAAAGTTCAACACTTCCATTATGCTACAGGGGTAAGTGCATCAAAGAAAGCTGTAAGTGGTTTCCGCCAATACTAATTACACTCCTTCAGATTTAATAGTTGTTATTAATAAAATGAACACCTAATTAAAAAAGTCCACCTTTGACTAGTGCCTCTGCTTCACTGCTCATTACTTTCACCCCCTGTGGCTCAAAATGGATTGTAAAAGAAAGCAAACAGTGACAGGGCTCCATGGAGGCCTCAGTCTGGCTCCGGACCAGAGTTACAGCAAAAACACACACATGACAGAAAAAAGTAGAGTGAAAGCAGGCCGAGATAAAGGCCCGGTGTGAGAGACGGTCAAACAGGCAAAGTGACTGAAAAGATCTTACCGTCGGTCATAGAGAAGAAGGATGGTTGCGAGCTCTTGTCAACGTCCCCACTGAACACACACACAAACACAAATAATCGACTGACTGGTTGACTGACACGTTTGGAAAGAGACACAGAGGAAACAGCGTGTGTGTGCATGTGCGTGCGCATGTGAGTGTGTATAGCACTCTGCTACTGAGTGCCACTGCCCCCTTTCTTTCTGTCCACTCTGCTGCAAATCCCTGTTTGCAGCAATCCCCTCCTCTCTCTCTCTCTCTCTCCGTCTCTCCCCTCCACATCCCTCTCTCATAGTTCACAGGCATGTTCACGCTCTCTGGCATTGTTTCCCCCGCTTCACTCTGTCACCCCATCTCATATTTTGTACTCCTTTTTCTTTTTCTCTTCTTGTTTTACACGTTTCTGTTTCCTTGCATACACCCCCACACACATACCTCCAAATTTCCAACTCTCTCCTTTGATGCGACATAAAATTTCTTGCAAAAGAAGCAAAAACACTTCATACATGCACCGCTTCCTTCATCAACTACATTTCAAAACTGTTGTTCTGCAAAACAAGTATCGCTGACACTTCATGAAAGTTTACTCAACTATCTCTGAATATTTATCTCTCGGACATAACAACTTTAACAATTGTGTTGCTGCAAGTTGGACTGTAGGCTCTGTGCTGCCTCACAGTGGATAGTCACATATCCTGAACTGAAAATGAGTCAAGAGCAGCTCTGCTTTAACGCTAAAATGCTGTTAAATATTGAACCTGTGAGTTGTTACAGTCAACCAGGTTAAAGACAAAGTTTTAAAAACTCTCTAACCCACAGACCCTGTCACTGTAACCACATAAGGTCAAATGAGTCTAAAACCATACACTTATTGTGTTGTTTTTCCATCTGATTGGTGCCTTTTTGTTCAAATGTTTCACTGCAATGGAAGATGCTTTAAAAAGAAGAAGCTGTAGAGTATTACTATTAAGGTCACTGGATGTTTACTCGAGACTCACAGATTATACAGGTAACACAAAAACAACAACAACCCACAGAAGAACAAAGAAAAATGGGGGAATTTATTGAAAAAAATTGTTTTAAATTACAGGATTTAGATAAAAATTGTGTTGCAGCAATTGGACACTGTCAATTTAAACCAGTGTCCAACGTACTTGTCAGCAGAGGTGCAATCTGCTCATGTACTGTGCTTTGGTTCAATTTCAAGGTACTTTTATCTTACTTGAATATATTCACTTTTTAAAATTCATCGTGCTAAATTTCCCAGAGAAAATAAAAAAAAAATATAACACAGGTTTTGAATATCTAAACCAGCTGGCTGTTGGTTTATTCTAACATGGTTTTATGTTGACAGTCTACAACATAAAGTAATTATATCCACTGATACAATACAATATCTATAATTTTTATAGTATTGCTTTTGTGCATTTGATGCCTAATATTTCTCATTATTTTCTCTGCATTATTGTAGGTCTCTGTCTTACAATATAAATTGCCTTGAGGTGACTGCTGTTGTGGTTTAGCTTTATATAAATAAAACTGAATTGAATGTTTTCTGGTGTAATTTCTATTACCACTGTTTAATATTAAATAAATACATACCAGCAGTGATTCACCCATTAAGCTCATCCCATTTATGGATTTATTCAAACACAGTAATGAGTCTTAATTATGTATTGCCTACTGGCCCCAAAGGCAAACAGCACTTCTGTGCTTCATTATGTCTGGATTAATTTGTAGCAGTATAAGTTAATATCATTTTAAGCATAAAAGACTGATAATTTAGATGTATGACTGAAAATGTATCAGTGAACAATGATCTCACTAACTGGATATGTTTTCAGCTGGTAGATATTCATCTCTGTGGGTACAGACCCAAAACATTTCAACAAAGAGGTTCGTGATTTGAAATTAGCACCCCCCGCGTCGCCTTACTACCCTGCCTCTCACAGTTAGGATCAAAATCTGTGAACTAATGCTGTTTTTTTTTCTTCTTCCAAGCCATTTAAGTCTGCAGGGAAATGCACAACAAGCGTTTCTCGATGCTCCTTAAAAGCTAAACTTGTTAATCCCGAGTCTCTCAGTGTCTTAATAGCGTCTCGTTCAGGAATCAGTAAGTTAATAGTGCCTTCACAAATCTGATTTGGACTGTAAACAAAACCTTTATTGAAAGCAGACATGCTGACTCGTGGAAAAAAAAAGCACAAGACTGATAAACAGTTTAGTATTTTACTATGTAATTAAAAAAATAAATCTTTAATAAGCAGAGATGTTACTGACAGCTAAATAAGATTTAATAGACATAGTAAAATAGAAAAGAATTTAAAGGTAAAAAGCTTCTGTTCTCTTCTTTCAGTTTCTGTTTCCTCTGCTCTCTACTTTAACCTCTCTATCTGGCCATCATTTGTGTTTCCGGGGAAAGCTTAGCAGCTAAACCAACAGGGCCTCCTGTGAGGGCGAGGGACAAAGAGAGGGAGAGACACAGAGGAACTTACCTCATACTTCATGACAAACACACAATCACTCCTCCTGCATCTACACACATTTATCTTTTAGCATCTCAGTGTGCCTTACAGGCAGGTGTGACCTGAAGTTGATTCAAATGATTCACTGTTCGTTTGCTCTTTTATTTTAGAGGCAAAGGTAAGTTTTGAGGTCGTGTGATTAAGATAAAGTAGTAGAGGTCGACCAGTATGTTGACTGGCTGGTGTTGTTTTATCACATTAAACACACAGTGACACCAAAGCTTTTTTCTTACATAGAGTAGTAGTAGTAGTAGCAAAAAGATTCTTGTAATAATTAGAAAATTATGTCATCATATATCAAAGAAGCTCTGACTCCTTGAAGCAGAGTAGCATCATATTTGAGCATATTGTATGCAAAGTCCAGCTGTAACTTGGTAACAAGTAGTTGGAACAAAAACAATTACTTTTCTTTTCATTACCATAATTTTTCCATATCATGTCTGGCATACTTTAATTAGAGTACGATGATATATTGAGCCAAACACAGAATCATTTTAATGCAAAACTGAAACCTCCGCTTTCTGAAACCTCAAAAAGCTGATAAGCCAAAGCCCAGTAATAACAGAAGGTAAGAAAAAAAAAATCCAAACTAACAGAAAAAGTTAGGCACTGTGGACAAAGGCAAGAAACATGGGATTGCACATGAGGGGAAACAGATGATGAGAGAGGTAAATAAAAACTAAATATAGATGGCAGGCTGATTAGTTTACGAGACACAGCAAAGAGAAAGAAAGGAATAAAGACAGAAAGCAAAAAACACAACAATTCACAAAAGAAAACAAAGTACAACATGATGACATGATGTAGGGAAATAACTATAAAGACACACTCTTTGCAAAGCGTAGTCTGGATTTGATTTGCGGAGGAAATGTTTAGCTTAGCTTTGCCAGGCTAACTGTGATGACATCGTATCCTGTTTCCTGTCTTCATGTTAAGCTTACTGACTGCACGCTATGACTTAATATCATCCATGCCGATAAAAATATATTAGTCTTACAATATATTTAGAAAGAAAATACATCATGCACTATTACACTAACATTTCTTCACAACAGATAAAACTGGAAACACTCCCTTGCAGGATGCTTTTAGATGTAAATTGATGATCTGGCAGAAAAGACTCCGAAAACTTGAGCAGGCTATTGGCCCTGACCCCCTGAATGTGACACTGACCCCCCTATCAGCTCTTAACCCGGTTTCATAGCCTTCAGAATTACTACTTAGAGGCTCTGAAGGCCAACAGAGGACATGACTTGGACTATTTGGACTGTACTCCCCCCCTTACTTCCTTCACCACAGGAGCTACTGAGAAACTCAGGATGAGGCCAACTACAAACAGCAGGAGGAAACAACTTGTTGACAAAAAGCAGGAGACATGAGTAAGAGAATACAGACAGATAAGACCGAGGGAATGAGAGAGTGACTGATTTGAGGATAGACCTGGACTGTTAGGACAGATGGTGTTAGCTGGAGCACTGTAGGGTCCCAGTAACTCGGTCTTATCCCACAGATACATGTCCTAATCCTGACTAACTCTGCTACAAGCAACAGGCTTACCCGTCTCACCTCACAGGGGCTCCCTCCCTTGTCCTTTGTCTCCTTCACTCTTCATGCACACACGCAAACACACAGAAACAACACAGTACTCAAAAAAGATACGTGACCGGTTAAATGATGCCTGTAGGATAATCACATTGTGCCAAAGACACAAATGTTATATTATGCTTTATATTTTGTCCTGGTTTTACACCATCTACATGCACTAATTTTGACTTTTTTGACTGAAATTTTATTTGTAGTTGCTTCAAAAAGTAGTTTCTATATTAAAATGATTGATGGCAAGTATTTTGGCTTTAACTTGAAAGCGACATTACAATTAATATACTACTAGGATGTATTCCAGTTCTCCTAATTTATAGCACAGGTATTGAGTTATTTATAATAGTAATCATCATAGACTGTATATAAAGGATGGCTCAGTGTTAC